CTACCACCATCACCATCACCAACCACCACCATCATCATGATAATCACCACCACCATCATCATGACCATAACCACCACCACCATCACTACCATCACTACCACCAATCACCTCCACCATCACCACCACCATCACCACCATCACCATCACCACTACCACATAGCCTTGTTATGTTGCCCAGGCTGGCCCTGAACCGATCCCTGGGCCCAAGCAATCCTCTCATCTCAGCCTTCCTAGTTGCTGGGATTGCAGACATGCGCCCACCACTCCCAGCTTAGTACTTTGTCTTAAATACAAACAGTCAAAGATCGCCAAACATCTGAGGAAAACAACTTACATAAAAATAAAAAGGAAAGTAAAACAAACAGAGAAGAAAGAGAATTAGAGAAAACAGAGAATTCAGTGAGTTGAAGAAGATGTAAAAAAAACTATATTTAATAAACTCGGAATTAAGAAAAATAACCTATGTAATAAGAATGGGAAGCTATTTAATAAGGGAATATGCAGAGATAACAAAAAAGAGCTTTTGAGAAGTTCAAATATGATTGATAGGAGAAATGGAAAAAAAATATACCAATAGAGGGAAGATAAAGTAGAAAATTGAGAAAATATGCCAGAAAGTAGAAAAGTACAAAAATATGGAAACTGGGAGAGAAAAGATAAGAAAATTAGAGAATTCATCCAAGAAGTCCAACTTTAAATAAGAAGAATTCCAAAGAGAAAAGAAAGTGAAAACAAACTGGAAATGAAGCCACATAGAAGTCCTCTAACATTCTGTCTTCCAGAGCCGAGGGGCACGACCTTCCATATTACAGGGTCCCAGCAAACGCCTAGCACAAATAACAAAGACCTCTACCAGCTACCTCAACATAAAACCTCAAAACCAAAAAAGAAGACCCTAAAATCTCGCAGAATTGGAAAAAACAAAAAAAGGCAGATAAAAAGATCTGGAGACAGACTGGCATCAGATGTGATCTCAGAGCAGCTCTGGAAATGGGAAGAGATGATGGAGCGGCCCTTCCCAGTTCTGAGGTGCAGCAATGCCCAGCCTGAAATTCTGCACCTTACCACACTGCAAACTAAAGCAGGAAAATAGAAGGCATTTGCTGCCATGCAATGTTTAGCAGGACTGTTTTTTACTATTTGACCTTTCTAATATCATACATGTAATATTTGATAAAAGTTAATTTTTAAATATTCAAAAAACAATCTTTTTATAGCAAAGTAGTCTGTTAGGAGAAATAAGTTCAAGATATTGATTCTGTGATATAGCGACTATAGTAAATAACAGTGCACTGTATTTTGAACATCACTGAGAGAGATTTTAAGTGTTCTCACCACAAAATAAAGTATACGATGAAATGCAGATGTTAATTAGCTCAGTTTAGCCAATCAACAATGTATACGTATTTCACAACATTATGTTGTATATGATAAATACATACTATTTTTATTTGTCAATTTAAAAAATAAAATATCACACAAAAATGAAAAAATACTCATTTGGTTACAAAGATGTGCTTAACACAGAAATTTACCACAGCCAAATTCCCTTCTTATAGCACAATAAAACCAGGCATGAATTTCTAAAATAGAATTTAATGGTCCTAAGCTCAAGGAGATTAAAATGCTCCTCTCTGGAAGGTACAGTGAAACTGGTCCACCGCAGTGCAGCAGGACGAACGTTACAATCCTCTCAGAAAGCAACTGGAGGTACATTCCAAAGCCATAAAAACATTTGTGCATTTTTGTCTCACCAAAGGAGCTAATGGGAATTTACCCTAAGGAAATATTCCAAAATAAAGAATACTATTTCATGGTGACAACTAGTGCAGAGTTATTTCTAATTTAAAATTGTGAGCAACCACAGGTTCAAAAACATAAGCATAATGAAAAACTATTATGCTGGACACAGTGGCTCACACCTGCAGTCCTAGCAACTTGGAAAGCTGAGGCAAGAGGATTGCTTGAGCCCAGAAGTTCAAGACTAGCCTGGGCAACATAGCAAGAGCCTGTCTCTGAAAAATTAATTAATTAATCAAAAAAAATTTTTTTTGAGATGGAGTCTCGCTCTGTCGCCCAGGTGCAATGCAGTGATCTCGGCTCACTGTAACCTCCACCTTCCGAGTTCAAGCCATTCTCCTGTCTCATCCTCCCAAGTAGCTGGGACTATAGGTGCCCACCACCACACCTGGCTAATTTTTTGTTGTTGTTGTTGTTATTTTTAGTAGAGACAGGGTTCTACCATATTGGTCAGGCTGGTCTTGAACTCCTGACCTCAGTGATCCACCTGCCTCAGCCTCCCAAAGTGCTGGGATTACAGGCGTGAGCCACCGTGCCCGGCCAAAAAATCTTTTTTTTTTTTTTTAGGCGGAGTTTCGCTCGTTACCCAGGCTGGAGTGCAATGGCGCGATCTCGGCTCACCGCAACCGCCGTCTCCTGGGTTCAAGCAATTCTCCTGCCTCAACCTCCTGAGTAGCTGGGATTACAGGCACGTGCCACTATGCCCAGCTATTTTGTGTGTGTGTGTGTATTTTTAGTAGAGACGGGGTTTCACCATGTTGACCAGGATGGTCTCGATCTCTCTACCTTGTGATCCACCCGCCTTGGCCTCCCAAAGTGCTGGGATTACAGGCCTGAGCCACTGCACCCGGCCCAATGGAACATCAACTTGACGGAATGTTATACAAAATATTTAGATGACCATTATGATACCATAAAAGCTTAAACATTTATGATACAATAAGTAAAAATTAAAAATATAGGAATAAGTCAATTATGATATATCAATGTGACAGAATATCAGACAAAAAGTTTTAAACGATCATTATGAAGCCTATAGCCACATGAAGAAAAGATTCTAATGCTATAAAAAAAGGAATGAAAAAAATAAAAAGATATTGCAAAGGGAAGAAATAAGGAAAACGATTCCTGGAATTTGTGGTGAACAGAAAGAAAATATTTTTCTACTACCCTCTCCCCCTTCCGTTTATTGGGACTCTTGGTGAAGAAAGTAGCTTTGTCTAAGAATTTAATCTATAAAAGGTTAAAGAAAAAGTCATTTCAAAGGTTTGCCACATTATTATTGACCAAGAATAGAAAATTCCCTCTTGTTTAGACAACCCCCAGTGGGCCTTTGTAAAAACAAGACTCTCCCCTCCTACCACCCTCTGGTCTGGGGTCCAGAAGAAGGGGATTAGGAAGTAGCAGGAATATGGGAGATATCTATTGAAAGATAGAGACCTTGGATTAAGAAGAGAGATTGAGCTTGGGTAAACAATAGAGATGGGAGAACTTTCCAGAACATAGGGAGGAGAGAGGAAGCTAGGGAACTGGCAGCAAGCAGGGACTCAAGGCACTCTGCCCAAATTTCCAGTAGTGGGAAGGAGTTTTAAAAAGCCAGGACTACAGGTGTGAGCCACTGTCTCCAGCATAATAGTTTTTCACTATGCTTACATTTTTGAACCTGTGGTTACTCACTATTTTTAATTAGAAATAACTCTGCACTGGTTGTCACCATGAAGTAGTATTCTTTATTTTGGAATATTTCCTTAGGATAAATACCCATTTGCTTTTTAAAACCATGATGTCTGCCATTTTCTCTTTCCCTTTGTGGAAAACTGCCCCCAAATCATTGTCTATGCATAGTCCTTCCCTGTCACTACCAGTCCTCCTTACACCACTCTGTCTGCACCACATGCATCTGCCTGTACCTCGCCTCTGAAACTACTTCTGTCATGGCCTCCAATAACTTCCATGTCATCAAAGCCAGTAGTCACCTTTATGGCCTCACCTGACTCAATCTCTCAGCAGCATTTGTCATAACTAACATCACCCTCTTCTGTAAAGAGCTGAGCTCCTCCTGGGCTGCCATGACACCATGTGCCCCTGACCTCCTCCTGCCTTCCCCACTCTCCATCTTAGCCTCCTTAACTGCTCTCACCTTCTATCTTCCAGCCAACTTTAAACTTGAAGCCCCACCTCCACCCCCACTCTGGTCTCCCTTCTGTCAATTCTCTCATTACTTTGTTTCATCCACTTTTCATGACTTCAGCTCCATCTACATGCTTGCAGCTTCCACATGTGCATCTCCAACCCGATTTCGCAGAGGTCAGCATGCAACTGCCTACTTCACTTCACTCAGCTGTCTCATTCAAACTTAATTTCCCCTGTCAACATGGTCCTCTCTCAGAGCAGAATCTAACACACACTGGTTAGAAGTCATCATGGATCCATCCCTATCCACATTCAATCCATCAGCAAGTCTTAGCAAGTCTCGTGAATTAAACGTGCACACAAGTCAAATTCATCATACTGGCTTTATTAGCATAATTCTCTATTTAATTATATGTAATCAAAGATGAGACATCACTAGAAGAAAAAAACTTGATAAAACTTATCTTGTTCTTGAATCGAGATCTTACTTGTCCCATTTTTCTGAGAACAAAATGCAGTTTGGTTCATTTAAATAGAAATAAACCATAAGGGCACATACCATTATGAAATTAACTCATATAAAGCTATATGAGAAGTCAAAACAAAAGAATTGTATAAACACAATCTAGCAGCTCAAATGCTTATATATTTAATGAATGCACCCAAGATTATTCAAAGTAATGATATTTCCTAACTTCGGTGTTATAAAATTTGCCATAACGAGGTGATAACATAGCATAAACATGAAAAGCATAATTTTGAAACTTTTTTTTATTGCATTTTAGGTTTTGGGGTACATGTGAAGAACATGCAAGATTGTTGCATAGGTACACACATGGCAGTGTGGTTTGCTGCCTTCCTTCCCCCCTCACCTGTATCTGTCAATTTTGGAACTTTTTTTAGTAAAAACTGCATTATCTCTATGCATAGGATTTCATCAGATTAAGAAGTATACAAAAATCACATTAATTTAAAGATCACCATTTATTAAGCAGTCTTAGATGCTGATTTCTATCTTTATTTGGTATTACCTGTATGGATCCCCAAAGGAGTTTGTGCAAACTTACCTTTGAGTCTGGAGGAGGAGCCAAGCCAAGGAAGGAATAAATAATATTCTCTTCTTTTGCAGAGAAGAAAGAGTCAAAATCCTTGAAGCAAAGAAAAAGAAAGTTTAAAACGACTGCACACTTTTGAGCATGTTTATTTTCAGCAACTGATCTTTTTTATTTATTAGTCATTAAGTTAGGGGCTCACACAAAAAGTCATCCCAGTTTGCTTTGTCCAAGATGACTAACTCCGAAGTTAAGAAATCTAACCATGAACTTTACGCTTGTGGGGTTTTTTGGTTTTTTGGTTTTTTGAGACAGAATCTCGCTCTGTTGCCCAGGCTAGAGTGCAGTGGCGTGACTCTATCTCATTGAAACCTCTGCCTCCCAGGTTCAAGCGATTCTAATACAAGAGGTGTACCAGCCCCAGCAATAACCAGGGGAACGGAAGGAGTTACAGCCCGGCCCGTTGGAGTTGCAGTACCACGAGGGACGCCAACACCCAGAGGAGTCCTGTCCACCCGAGGACCCGTGAGTCAGGGAAGAGGACTTCTCACTCCTCACTCCCAGAGCCAGAGGAGTCCCCCCAACTGGGTACAGACCTCCACCACCACCCCCAACACAAGAGACTTATGGAGAATATGACTATGATGATGGATATGGCACTGCTTATGACTAACAGAGTTATGATTCCTATGATAACAGCTATAGCACCCCAGCCCAAAGCTAACCACCTTCTATGAAGTGATCTTTTCAGTGCTACAACTTGTCTTACCTGAAGGAATACAGAGAATTGTATGAGAAGTGCTCACACGGGCAAATGCAGAAGCCACTGCTAAATACCCTCAGTGTTCATTTAATCCTTATAACATGTAAAATAAACATCTTTTTTAAAGAAGAAAACAAAACAAACAAACAAAAGGCCTCAGCCTCCCGAGTACATGTGCCACCACATCCAGCTAATTTTTTGTATTTTTAGTAGAGATGGGGTTTCACCATGTTGGCCAATTTGGTCTCAATCTCTTGACCTCATGATCTGTCTACCTCGGCCTCCCAAAGTGCTGGGATTACAGGCATGAGCCATAGCGTCTGGCCCCTACATTTGTTTTTATACACTTTCATTGTGCCTGTATACCACAGCAAGAGCTCTCACGCACATGCATGCACGCACACACACACACACACACACACACACACCTATCCATGCTCAGGAATTGCTGACAAGACCCAAATACACACAGTAAAATGGCTTTTCCAAGTTTCACACCATTAGCTAGTTTACTTATAATCTGGCCCTATGTATTTGGTCCCTGATCAGCTGCGACGAAGATGACACAGGCTATCTGTATTGCAATTAAAGTAGCTGTAAGGGAGAAGATGCATCTCAGGCCCTCCCAGTATGACTTAGAGAGTGGCTGTTTTGGCAAAATGCAAACAACTGGAGTGATCTGAAACTCTGCAGTGGATTGAAATCTGATGCTCAGTGAAGCTCCCACCTGACTCCAGATCCCACCAGGGCCAGTCCTTCACCAGGCAGGTCCGGCCCTAAACCAACTTCCCAGTAATGCAGCTGTCAATAGCTTAGAAGAGTTTCAATTTTTATAACTAAAACATAAAAGATATTCCCCCAGACTACTTTATCACTGCCAATCTTTGTCATCAGGGCCTTGATGCAATTTCAACAGTGTTGCCAAAAGGCTCACAAAGTCACAGAAATTTGTCCTACTTAACAGGGCAACACACAAACCAACTTAGTTGTTCTTTGCTTTCCCTACTCTTAGTGAATGTTAAAAAGCACAAAACCAGCCAGGCGTGGTGACTCATGCCTCTAATCTCAGCACTTTGGGAGGCCAAGGTGGGAGGATCCCTTGAACCCACAAGTTCAAAGCTAGCCTGAGCAACATTTCTACCAAATATACAAAAATTAGCTGGGCATGATGGCATACACCTGTGGTCCCAGCTACTTGGGAGGCTGAGGTGGGAGGATCTCTTGAGCCTACAGATCAAGGCTGCAGTGAGCCATGATTGTGCCACTACACTCAAGCCTGGGAGAAATACTCTCTCTCTCTCTCTCTCTCTTTCACACACACACACACACACACACACACACACACAAAGCTTAAAACCAAATACAGGTCACAGTTATTGGGAAAAAATATTATGCATTCCTGTGTGTTATTTTTATTCAAAGCTTTACTGTTTTCCTATCCATTGCCTCAAGTCTCTCAGTGATTAATTTTATTCTTTTATACTGAATACACGTTTGCAAGTTGCCTCAAATCTTAGTTGAAAGGAATATAACATCACGAGTAAGTGCAGGAATTTTGGTATCAGAAATTCTGATTGATTCCCAGAGTACATTCTTACTAAGCATTGTTAAAAGATTACATCAGATAATGCGCTAATAGTAGTAGTAGTATTAAGTTGATGAAATGTAATAAAGTAAATCTATACTACTTCCCAAAAATTCCACATATAAAGTTCTGAAAACTTTAGTTGGCCAACTCTAGATTTCAAGATTTTAGAAACTATTAGAAAACAAAGGTTTTCTTATAGTTGAGTGACTCTTTTGCTTCAATTTAAGACCAAATACCTTCTGCAGAATTTCAAAAGGCTGAAGAACAATTTGTCATTATCTTTGACTCGATGCTACCAAATATATCTAGAAAACAGTGAACATAAAACGAGTTTTCAACTTGCAGTTCTGCTACTATGGCAGATTAGAGCCCCTGAGAAGCTGTCTCAGAAAAAATTTCTTAACCAAATCAAGAAAAAAAAAAAAAAAAGAATAAATACACTGCTGAGTTGGCATTAAAGACTCCGGCCAGTGAGAGCATGAATCCTGAGAGTAAGCACACACCAAAGCCACCATTCACGCTGAGAGTTTCTGACACACACAGGACACCTTTATGATCACTTTGATGCTGAAGAGGAAAAACCGGGAAGCAGATAAAGCCTAGAGCCTAGTCAAGGTGGGGAGTTTCATAAAGCACACACACACCACAACTCCAGAGGGTTCTGCCTTCAAAGTAAATGTGAATGGGAAATAACCCTGTCACACAGAACAGAACGGCAGGAAACTTCCCTTATTCAACTTTGCTACTGAGTGGAGGGGAAAATATTCTTCTCTGAGAATATATAACCACAAGTAGAATTCATGAGAGGCTGAAGTTCAAATTCCCATGCCATGTGTGATACTGAAAAAATCTTAAAAGGAAATCTGAGTTTAAGATGTGTCTAAGTTTGACATAGCTCTACGGAAACTAGCAGAAATAAACTCCAGGCCTCAAAGAATATCCATAGCTGTGATTTGAATGTGTCCCCCAAAAAGCATGTGTTGGAAACTTAACCCCCACTGCAACTACAGCAGTGTTGGGAGGTGGGGCATAAAGGGAGCTGCTGAGGCCATGAGGGGGCCATCCTCATGAACTGATTAATGATATTTATGGAAAGGCTTGAGGCTGTGAGTTAGATCTCTCCCTTTCTCTTGCTGCTGTGATGCCTTCAGCCATGTTATGACGCAGCCAGAAAGCCAAGATCGGACACTGCCCCTTGATCTTAGACTTTCCACCTCCAGAGCCATGAGCCAAATAAACTTCTATTGTTTATAAACTACCCAGTCTGTGGTACTCTGTTACAGCAGCACAAAACAGACTAATACAGACACAAATACAGTTTTTAAAAATGAGCAGTTTGAAGTCAAAGTCACAATATAAATAAGGGAATAAGAAGACCACATGAGTGAGAGCAGGAAGAAATAACAGAAAGTAAAATTTGAAATCAGAATCAGATATCGGAATTATCAGGCCAAGAATATAAAATAGTTATATTTAATATATTTAATGAAATCAAAGAGAAACTTGAAAACAGAATAAATATCTAGAGAGAACAATCAAGCAAATTTAGAAAAGAATGAAAAAGAACTCCTGAAAATAAAAAGATGTAATAGCTGAACTGTAAAACTCAATATGTGGATTAAACAAATACATATGAAGAGAAAATTAGCTAACTAAGAGACACAATCAAAGAAATCATCCAGGCTGGGTGTGGTGGCTCATGCCTGTAATCCCAGCATTTAAGAGGCAGAGAAGGGAGGACTGTTTGAGCCCACAAGACCAGCCTGGAAAACATAGAGAGACTCTGTCTCTATTTTAAAAAAATAATAATAAATGAATAAATAAATAATCTAGAGAGGAAAAAAGAGATGAAAAATGTGGAAGAAATATTCTCGTATGAAAACCATATGAGAAAGTCTAACAAATGTCTTATAGGAGCTGTTGGAGAAGCAAATAGAGATAATAAGGGAAAACCTAAACTCAGGGATATAATTGCTAAAAATTTTCTTTTTTTAATTTGATTTTTTTGTTTGTTTGTTTTTGAGACGAAGTTTTGCTCTTGTTACCCAGGCTGGAGTGCAATGGCGCGATCTCGGCTCACTGCAACCTCCGCCTCCTGGGTTCAGGCAATTCTCCTGCCTCAGCCTCCTGAGTAGCTGGGATTACAGGCACGCGCCACCATGCCCAGCTAATTTTTTGTATCTTTAGTAGAGACGGGGTTTCACCACGTTGACCAGGATGGTCTCGATCTCTCGACCTTGTGATCCACCCGCCTCTGCCTCCCAAAGTGCTGGGATTACAGGTGTGAGCCACCGCGCCCGGCCTAATTTGATTTTTTGAGACAAGGTCTCATTATGCTGCCCAAGCATATGCCCAACATGCCCAAGCATGTCTCAAACATCTGGGCTCATGCAATCCTCCCACGTCAGCCTCCCAAAGTGCTAGGATTACAGGCATGTACCATCTTGCCTGGCCAATTACTAACAATTTTCTAGACTTATTAAAAGACAACAACCCTTAATCTCAGGAAACCCAATAAATAATTCTAAACTAGATAAATAAAAATAGCCAAACCTAGATACATCGTAGAGAAATATTAAAAGCAGCCAGAGAGAAAGAGGAAGAAGAAGAAGAGGAATAGGAAGAAAAAAAGGAAGAGGAAGAAGAAAAGAAGAAAGGATAAATAGAAGGAAAAAGGGAGGGAGGAAAAGAGAAAGTTTCCCAATAAAAGAATCGCAACGAGACTGACAGCTGACTTCTCAAGAG